AGCGCTTCTCAAACAGCCTAGGCCTCCGAGAGCAGGCCGAGCGGCGCACACACACATTTACAGAGCCACTACCACCAGCAAGGGCAGAAAGAGGCAGAGTCACAGGTTGCTTGTAATCCCCCCATTACCCCCCACCGAGCTCCCCGGCCCCTCCTCGGCATTCCTGCTTTTGTAAGAGTGTGTTTTTTTCTAATCCGAGCTCGGCCCTTACCAGCTCTTTCCTCACATAGGAGCCCCTAGCCTTCAGGTGCTTCAGGATTCGATAAAAGCGAGTCGTGAGTGTGTGTGTGTGTGTGTGTGTGTGTGTGTCTGCGACGGGGGTGGATGGATGTGCAACCTTACACTGAATTCTGTTTGTTGCCCCCCTGCTAGGCGCTATGGCTTCCTGTAACATGTCAAAGACTAGAGTGTGAACGCAAGCTTAGGAGCGCGGCTTGTGCATGTGCATGGTGTGGCAGGGGGCAGGAGGTCGCTCAGCCTTTCAGCACTCCCCACTAGAGGTGTGGGGGCCCTGCAGATGTTCATGTGTGTTGTATCGGTAACCATAACGTACGCGTCCAACACACACACACGCATACACGCAGTCCTCACGCGTTCCAATATCAGATGGAACTCGTTAGATGATCACAGATTTTTTTTCTCTCCCATATCCGCTTCTTTCATTATGCATGCAGAGTTATGATACTCCTGTTTTGGCTAGCAGCTATTGCCAGCTTCCCGCTGCTCAATATCCAAAAAGTGCCACAGTACATAATACGCTCTCAGAGAGTCTTCTGTTTCTCTGCTGACAGCAGAACAATGTCCCACTGCCAGCACTGTTCATTTCACAACCAAGACCACAGAGGACATGGTCCTATTGGACGAGTCCCTCATGAGTTTCAAAATATCGATGTATTGGAAAGTACTTATGTGTTGGACTAATGTGTTGTTTCATTTTTCATCTGATTTGGTTCCCATAATAGAGACTATGAGGTAGAATACATATTAAACCGTGTTGATTTTTATGTTGATGTTGTCATTAAGTGTATTGGTAATAAGTTTAAAGGGATAGTACATTAAAAATTATAAATTCTTCAATCACTGCATGTCATTCCAAGCTTACTGTGAAACAAAGAAGATATTTGGATAAATCGTTTATCTATAACTACTACACAGATCTAAAACTCACTCATATCTGGTTCATGGCACTAATGTAAACCCCTGGTTCTACATTGACTTGTTCTGAGTGGGATTTGAACTCCGATTTCTGGCATAGGTGGAAGTCCACCTTGTTAGCATTGCTAGTGCACCTCTTAAAATCAGAAGAGTGAGGTTTACCTGCACAGCCTCTACTAGCATGTCTCCATTATACTGACCCTATAAACCTCAATAATGCTTGTCACGCCACTGAGCGGGATTTTAATCTATGATTCTGGCTTAGTAAATTTGGCCACTATTGGTACATTTTTGGACACTAAAAACGGCTGTGACCCATCTGCGGTTTACCCACACAGCTACCTTCCAGCTGATCTCGGTTACATGTACAATGATTTGTACTTCAATTGTATACAGCTAGCTCTCTGCATCTCCCACATGGTCGCCCACTGAAGCTAAGCATGGCTTCGCCCGGTCAGTCCTTGGATGTGAGACCACATGGGAAAGCTTGGTTGCATTAGTGAGACCAGCAAGGGGTGCTCAACCTGCGGTCTGTGTGGATCCTAACCCCCTAGAATATTGATCAGAACTCTATACTGATCAGTGAATGCCATCTTTTAGAAGAGATGTTAAACTGAGGTCCTGACTCTCTGTGGTTGTTAAAAAATCTCAGGATGTCCATTGAAAAAGAGTAGGGGTTTAACCCTGGCACCCTAACTAAATTTGCCCACTGGCCTTTGTCCATCATGGCCTCCTAACCATCCCCATATCATAATTGGCTTCAACACTTTATATCCTCTCCACCAATCAACTGGTGTGTGGTGTGCGGTTTGGCACAAATATGGCTGCCGTCGTGTCATCCAGGTGGATGCTGCACAGCGGTTGTGATTGAGGAGATTCCCCCCTATGTGTAAAGTGTTTTGAGTGTCAAGAAAAACGCTTTATAAATGTAATAAATTATTATTAGAAAAAAACAGTTTTCATTCTTTAACAGATTTAAAAACATTCTTCTTACATGCTCAACAAAAGATTCAAAGACTGGTTTAGAAAGTCTTGAAGTTGAGAAAATGATATCAGAATTTTGATTTGTGGGTTAACTATTTGCTTAAAATTATAAAGGATGAAGAGGTCACACTATTATAGGAGCAAATGTAGGAGATGGAGAGCGAGCATGAGAGAAAGCCTGAGTGTGAGATAGAGCAGTTGCTCCAGGTCTGGCCTCCCTGTGGGGGTCCATCGCGGCCCGGCTGCCCGATCTTTCACAGGCACAGAGAACCAGCCCTCACAGAGCAACACCAAGCTCTGATTCACTGCACTAACCTCAGCCGCTTAGTTTGAATATTAAACAACCATTCATTTATTGAAAACAGAACTCCTTAATGGTGTCATTTAAACACCAGTAGACTGAACTCAAGTCCCTTTCAGCATGTTAAACTGGTGGAATCAATGAATTAATGGACACTTTTTTAGAGTGCAGCAGAAGCATAGCTATGGTTTAACTATGGTTAAACAAAAAGTTGTATTAGAATCATGTCCAAATTTGGTCCTTCCTATAGTCTTGTTTATTTCGCTGATAGTCCTCAACTCTGTACTGTCAAGTGTGCTGCAGTTACTCAAGCCACAACTCCAGCTCACGTCTCCGGCTCGATTTGCTCAGCTCCTAAACCGTTGAGACTCAGTCAGCTCACATTACCATCACACCAGCTCGATCATAACTAATCAATTAGACCTCAAACGAGATCCTCCCCGCGGTCCAACATCTGCAGCCCAAAAGCCAAGTGCACTGGCTATTTAGGAGGTGCTTTGAGTTCAGCGAGTTTCACCGAGTAGAAACAAAGAGCAAAACGAAGAGAGAGCCTTGTTAAAAAAAAAAAAAAGACCCTGAGCCACAGTTACACCAGCGAGCTGATTGTGACTGTGGTAAAGACAACATGTCCGCTGGTAATGATGGATGTTTCTCCCTCAATGTGACAGAAAGCACCAGGGTTTGAAGCGCAGGCTGAGGGCAGGATTGTGGCTGGTTTAACATGGGCAACTTCTCTTGTGATCAGTATCCAAAAGCAGCGCAGGAGACAGATGAAGATCCCGAACTGACAATTAGCAGTTTCTGGGTGGAGACAGAGAGGATCAAAACTGTGACAGAAGGACTTCTTTTAAGGGACCTGTTTTATCTATAACATTTCCCTGTAATGTCATCAATGGCTCTTAAAGCTCACTTCAACCTATTGTACATTTTAGCAATCGATGAGTGAAAGGAGTGCACTTGATGTTAAATTTTTAAAGAGGAAACCCACTATCGTCAGCGTCAACACTTCCCATTAACTTTATATGGGCGACGTCAGGCGTTCCCGAACTGCATTGTGGATCCGTCGGCACCGCTTCAGAGACGTTGCTTGCAGCAGAAGTTGGGACTAGCTCGACTTTTCAAGTGCCGACGGAAGCGTCAGCCAATCAGATCGCTGTATCAAATACACCAGCAAGACAGTGGCCTATTGCTGACTGAATTTCATTGGCTGACGCTGCTATGACGATCGCTTTAGCCCCAACTTCAGACACGCCTTCAGTCAAGCGTTGACGCTGAAGTCCCATATGGGTCAAAAGCAAGATGTCCCATTTTGGTGAATGGATTAAATAATATGTCCAGAAGTGATTTATACACAGGAACCAAAGTAAATCCAAGTTTGTAATTGTTTATGTGGTTTACAAGGATCAATTAAATAATGAAATGGTATTGGTGGTGGTTTGCAAGGACATGTGTTGTGTCCTCGTAATTAAAACTGCCTAAAAATCAGTTAACGTGGTCTTTTAACACTGAAATTTTGTTAGGTTCTCAGTGAATGTTGGTTTTAGGGTTGTAGGGGTGGGCTTTATAAAACGTATTATGTCTATGGAGATACATTGCTGACATTGTGGGGACCAAATGTGCCATGCAAGTATAGCGATATCGTTTCATTTCGCTGTGACAACCCCTGATTAATAAAGGGACTAAGCCAAAAAGAAAATGAATGAATGGATTTTATTTCACCACAATGTTAGTTCTTGCTAGTCCAGCCTAAAAAAAAAAAATCAAAGCATCTTAGACTAGCCTGGAACATAATAATATTGTTAAATGGCAACCATTTACGGGCAGCTAGCTTTCTGGAACTCTCACATGGTCGCCCACTGAAGCTAAGCAGGGCTGTGCCTGGGCAGTACCTGGATGGAAGACCACATGGGAAAGTTAGGTTGGTGATGGAGGTGGTGTTGGTGAGACCAGCAGGCGGTGCTTAACCTGCGGTCTGTGTGGGTCCTCATGCCCCAGTATAGTGAAGGGGACTCTATACTGTTTAATGAGTCCCATCGTAATGCCCCAGTATAGTGAAGGGGACTCTAGTCTGTTTAATGAGTCCCGTCTTTCGGATGAGACATTAAAGTCGGATAGATAATTTAAAATTGGATAAAATTGTGTGGTGTGGTCTGGCACAGCTGCCTCCAGCTGGATGCTGCACACTGGTGGTGCATGAGGAGATTCCCCCAAAAATGTGTAAAGCTATGAGTGTCCAGAAGAGCGCTATAAAAATGTAATTATTATTCTTATTATAAAAAAGGAACGATTTTCCACATAGATGGCTTTTTTGTCTTTGATCCATACGTACACAAACAGTCAAGAAGAGTAAAATAGTCAATTTAGAGTTGTAGTAAATCAGGTTAAGGATTATTTTTAGATCTTGTACTAAATCAATGCTCATTTGCTCATCATTGTGATTTAAATCTATTGTATACAGTGCTTGTGTGTTTGTGTTGTGTTTCTGTAGATGCGTGTTTGTGTGTGGCAGCATTTTTCTGTGTGTCTGTGTTTGCTGGAGAATCATGTATTTGTGTTTCAGCAATGGTACACCAGCACAATGAACCTCCTGGGCACGTGGTTGACAGACCGCATGGACCTGCAGCTTCACGTCTATCAGCTGAAAATCCTCATCAGAGTTGTGAAGGTAAAAACTACACTGTCACTGACCACTGAAACGAGGAACTGAAATAACTTCAGATATAGATTCAAAAATGTCTGCGGGAAGTAATTGTAACAGTATTTGCACCAAAGGTACTTGAAACAACTGTTATAAAATTCAGAGCTGGATCAGTTTTTTTTTCTCCAGTCTCTGCTTGTGCTCAGTTTTTTTTTTTTTTTCTTTCAGCGAGATCAGCAGGATTTCCTAGTATGGCTTTACACATTTATTCTTGTGCATTTGTATAGTATGTGTGTGTGTAAATGTATGTCACGATTTTCTTGATGGACAAATTGAAGGGTAAAACTGAAATCTGGTGTAACAGATTAGGTTTACTGACTACTGTTTTTTTTCCGTATTTATTTATTATATTTATTTATCGTATCAGAATATCAACTGTTACATTAAAAATGGCATTTTTCATAAATAAGTAACAGAACAATCTTGAATTTTTAAATCCCATTACCAAAATTCATATATGTTCTAAAATGCTATTAAAACTTGCATTTGTGTGATTATTATCTTTAGGAATTAAAATAATAATACAATTAATAAACTAGGTTAGCATGTTGGAGATTAATCCTAAATGAAGCTATTACTTAATTATTTTATTCAGTACTGGTCTAAATGTTGCTCTTTTATATTAATAAAGTTATGGGTAAATACAACACCTTACGGGTAAATAAGTCATCTAGATTGTGTTACTGATTTCGAATAACAAGATGAAATCATTGTAATCTGTAACACAATCTTATTTTAGTTACTGTACCCTGACTACTTTTGAACTACTTTTAGATTACTTCTATCTAACTTGCTTGTTAATTTGATAATCTTACACTGTAAAAACCCAACAGTCAACTTTATCAAATGAAATGAGTGTAGTTAACTCAAAATTGACTGAAAGTTAATTCTGCTTATTTGAAAAGAGTTTTGAACTCCGTGTTGAAGGTAATAAGTTAATTAACCTCATTATGTAACCTCGTTACTTCAACTTAAATGGAGTAAGTTCACAGTACTCATATAGATTAGTTGTTGTTTTTTAAACTCAACTGGTTTGTTGCAATCGGTTTCCTTAAACGGTTTAAGTTGCCTTAATTTATTGGGTTTTACAGTACTCAGTTAGTTTGAGTTATCTTTATTTATTTGGTTTTACTGTGCTCTAATTGCTTCATTTACTCAAATGGATTAAGGTCACAATACTCTTTAGGATTAGTTTTTTACTTGAATGTTTTGTTGCAATTGGTTTCTTCAAACGGTTTGAGTTACCTTAACTTTTTGGGTTTCACAGTGCAGTAATAATTTGTTCCTTAATTCCATTGTTCACAAATGAGTTAGCATAATAATTATATGTTTATTCTATACTGTGATTAAGCTATGAAATTTTTTTTTTTTTTTGTTTTTTTTGAAATTAGAAAGATGAAAGGAAGAATCAAGAACCATTTTAAAAAATTTACTGCCATTGTGTGAATAATTTGTAATCACATAATTTATCCATTAATGTTTCTTTAGCAACAAATCAGCATATCTTAGTGATGTCCCTAAACTTTTTAAAAGATTATATCCTTTTCTTGAAGTTTGAAAAAAAAAAAAGAGACCATTTAAAAATTATTTGGATTTTCTGGATTTATTAGAAATAAAATTTGAGTAAAGTTTGTTTTATTCTGTATAAAATACTGTTATTAGATGCTGGGTTGTTTAAAGCCATCTTTTGTCAGATAGTAATATATTGATATTAATAAATGTCAAATATGGACCCAAATGTTGGGTTAAATTTGTAATTAAAAAATTGTCTACATGTCACGAGGAGTTGGCTTGAAATAGCCTCATCCGAAAGCTTTTGATTTAGTAAAAGGTAATTGGTGGATTTACCTTGTTTCAGCCTTATGTACACCCACAGCTAGAATGCAGAAATCTGGGCTTACCCGACAAAAATCTCATGATTTTGTTTTTCGCTTGTACATAAACTTTTTTTTTCACACTTAAACTAGCTATTGGTTGTAAATCTCATGTGAAAAAAATCCCACTTTCAGGCTGACATTGCTCATAGACATCCAACAATATGAAACAGATACTATACTTACTATAATAACTATAATAACAATAGTGTTTTGAAAGAAATAAAAACAGAACAATGTATTCTCTTGAAGTTGTTTCAGAATAACTGCTCTCTATATGATACAGCATTTTGAATTTCATTCGTTGACATTCATAGATTTTTATTTATTTTACTTATTACATTTTCCCTATTTTAAATGTTGCTTTTGGTATCATGAATTGAATATCATACAATGCCATTTTTATTATCAGCATTTACATTACCCCGGGTTAAAATGTTCATTCCTGAACAATGACAACATCAGTCGCAGAAATCAGATTCTTGATGTTATCAATTAAATTTCAACTATTTTGTCGTATTTTCCCTAGTTTACTGCTAAATGCTGTTAAAATTCAGTTGATATTAGAAATACATTTCTTATTACACTGGAAAAAAAAACATGGGATTTACTAAATTTTTTCAAGGTAGGTTGTTGCTAACAATTTATTTGGGCTGAATTTAAACAAATAAATTAAGTTGAACAAAATTGTATTTGTTTGTGTAAATTTAGCTCCTATACTGTAAATAGTTTGCAACAAAAGTTCAGTTTCACAAAAAAGTATCAGCCAATACCAATTATTGGACAATAAATTTGTGCAACTCTACTCATAATTAATTTTAATTAATCAAAAGTATTCAAAATATTATCATTTAGAGCATTTTAAAAATATATATTTTTAGAAAATGACAGTTGGTCAGTGTTCATTTGTTGTGAACATTTTTTCTACCAAATATTGCTTTCTTAACTCTTCTGAAATTAAAACATTGGGATTGTGTTTTAATAAAAGAATGTCATGACTATTATTACTGTTATAAGTAATGAAAGGAAAATTGAGCTAGATGTACCTAAATCCACAATTCTCCTTGTTTACACAGAAAAAGTATCGTGATTTCCGACTGCAAGGCGTATTAGACTCAACTCTGAACAGCAAGATGTACGAGACTGTGAGAAACAGGCTGATTCTAGAAGAGGCCACAGCATCTGTGAGAGAAGGAGGGATGCAGGGGATATCAATGAAAGATAGTGATGAAGAAGACGACTAGATCCTGCTGGAGACACTTCAGTCACAGCCACGGTTATCGTGGCCTAAAATAATGCATGTACACCACTGTCCATCACTCGTACAGGTCTGGATGTTGATAAAGTCATGTTTGATGACAGACAAGAGACCAATTTCAATTGAAGTGACACAACAATTTATTAATCTCCATTTAGATGATGAAAACAACATACTAATTTAAATTTAAATTACTTTTCAAAAACATTCTGGGTTGTTTCAAGCCACATTTGGGTCAATTTTTGACATATTGATATTAATAAATGTGATCCTAGACCTCAAAACCAGTCTAAGGCTGCAGTCACACTGCACATTTCTTCACATAGACTTCCATTCATACGCATGCTAATGCGACACACCAGAAACGCAAACTCATGCAACACGTTTGGCAGTTCGCTGTGTTGCAGTTCAAGCTTGGTGAACTCTGACCTGCGAAATAGCATCACGTGACTACTCGAGCCCAATCTAAGATCAAAACATGACCTCTCTGTACAGAAATGTAAAATATGGACCAATCGCTTGTATTTTGTCTCATTGTCTTTTTTAATCCCACCCATTTTTACATTTTGCAAGCTCAAACTCTAGTGTTCTGCGACATCACACTGTAAAAAATGCTGTGTTCCACACAACTCATTCAAGTTCTTCCAACACAAATTAAGTTAACTTAATCATTTTAAGTGTATTAAACATAAAACAATTAAGTTGTGCCACAAATACTTAAACATTGTTATTTCAACTCATTTTGAATAAGTAGTTTAAACAAGCAGCAATTATTACTTATTAATTGTTAATTATTAATTTTTTTGAGTATGTTGCATGGGTACACTCAAAAAATAACTCATTGGATGAACTTAATTTATTTGAGAGCAGGATTTCCATCCAATAAATTTGTTTAGCACAAACTAAAAAACTATTTACACAATTAAATGCAATTGAGTTGGTCCAACATGATTTTATCAAATAAAAGTTTAAATACATTTGTATTGTTATTTAACTTAAACTCAAAGGTCTTAAACTCAAAAGTCTGATTATATCATGTGTGTTTATTATGTGTCGCACATTTTGAAGTCTCTTATCCTAAATGAATTATAAGAGCCATTTTAAGCAGATTTCATGAGTTACATACACAGACTGAAATCAGAACTAATTTTAGGACAGATATTGATCGTTGAGCAAAGCAACAAAGCATTTTAGCTAATTAAGCTAAGCTGTATATCTATTAACTTAAAACACCTCAGATTACTTTTATTGTCAATATTTCCCTCTCTTAATTCAATCCCACGCAGAACATGCTGGAAACTACAACTCCCCTTATCAGTAAAAAGCGATTCGTTGAAAAAAGTGACTAAACTGATTGCCTTCAAGTTATTAAGTAAATAAACTATGTGCATAATTTTAACAAAAATCAAGTTAAGTCAACTTAACATTTGTAGGCTACAACTGAAATACTTACATTGCTTAAGTCGAGTCATTTTTAAGGCATAGGGTTTACTCACTTTTTAAGTAATTGCTTTTAACAGTGCACAGTAAAAACAATTATTTTAAAAAATAAAGTAAACCCATTGTCTTAAAAATGACAAGTTGATTTTACTTTAAAAAATGAGTTAAACCATTGACTTGACTTAACTTTTCTAAGTAAAATCAACATGTCGTTTTTAAGGATATGGGTTTACGAAGTTTTTTAAGTAATTGTTTTTTACAGCGTAGTGAGACCAACACAATTTCTTTATGCTGTCCCAACACAAAGTCCAATAATTATTTTGTTTCAGCTCATTTTAAACAGGTAGTTTGAACAAGCAGCAGTATTTTTTGTGTATATTTGTGGGAATATAAAAAAATGCATTGTTTGAGTCAGAATTATCGTTTTTTTATTTCATGACAAAAATAATTTGAAAATTAAATAAGGATCAAGTTGAAGACATTTCCTACCAATAATCTATTAAAACATAAGGTTTTATTAGTAATACACTGTTAAGTTAACTCAACCCTTTTTAACAAATTTATGTAAATTGAACATAAACAAATTAAGTTGTCCCAATGAAATCCCAAGAATTGTGTTGTTTCATATATAAATATATATAGTGTATGCATTTTCTCTATTTTTAGATTCCAGATTTAGAAAATTAAAGTTGCTTTAGAAATATGTAATAGTCCAATTATACAAATATTGTCCACTTCTAACAAACCAAACAGCTTTTGGACAACGTATATATTTCAATTTCCAAAAAAAAAAAGTGACACTTATGACTGGTTTTGTGATCCATGGTCACAAATGCCAAATATTGCTATTGACCTAACTACAAAAATTGTCCATATTTGATCCACAGTTGGATTAAAGCAACCTGTTGCAGTTTTTTGAGATAAAAAAATATATATATAAGAAAGCAAATTGTCTGAAATTCATTCCTAAGTGTTTCTAAGCAATATGGAGTATCATTCGTAAACAATGTTGTGTGAGATGGATAAGGAAAAATGCTTGTCGTGTCCCCGTTCAATGCAAATCCGTTTGCCGCTTCTTCAACGTATTGTAAATACAGTAATGGTACATAACTGTGCATAGACTTGTTTCTTTTTTTGGAGTGTAGGTTAACTGATATGATTGTATTAACTTGTTCAGATGTTTATATATTCATCTCGACAAAATGTCTAATATCCACAATCTGTTTTACACCTTTTTTTAACAAGTTAGGTAAGGTGATCTGTTCGTAGCTGTATTTTAGAGAGGCAATATAGCTTATTTGTGATATACTTAAACTGACGTCAATAATTTTTTTTAATGTTTTTAAGCCATGCGTTATTTTAAAATATAAAAAAATATATTTATTCTGTATTTGGGGGGTGAGGGGAATGACGATAAAGCTTTCTTTTGTATTCGTTTTGTTGCAACAAAGCATTTACGAACCTTCTGTCTGGATTGACTCTAAACGCTTACAGGTTTTCATCATTGCCACTGTTGTTTTTGTGTATATAGTGCTTTATATCCCCCTCTGTGCAGTAGCTGCATGTCTCAATTGTCAGAAATCTTATCCGAAAGCTTTTGATTTTGTGGAAAGTAACTGGTGGATTCATCTCGCTTCGGCCTTATGTACACCCACAGCTGGAATGCAGAAATCTGGGCTTACAAAAATAAAAATAAAAAATAAAACCATTACTTTGTTTTTTGCTTGTACATAAAGGTCAGACCAAGGCTTTTCACACTCAAACTAGCTGTTGGTTGTGGAAGTCTAACGTAAAGCTCATTGAATTCTACTTTCAAGCTCATATTGCTCTTAATTTGAGATCTAATAATAAGAAATAGATAGCTAATTATTCAGTGTCATCTGTGATACTAATATTTTGGTGGTTTCGCATTTTATACCGTCTTTGGTGATTCATGACAGTGTTTTGAAAGAAATTTAAACCTCTTTCTCGTTCTGTCAATTTCAACAAGTTGTTTCAGAATAACTGGTGTTTGTATGACATGACATTTTGAATTTTAGTCATTCACAGAATGTTATTGATTCATTATGTTTTCAGTGGCTCAAATATTCATTTTTGGTATCTAAAATTTAATTTCATCTATATTGCATTTCTGGTATCAGCAATTATAATTACACTAGTAAAAACATTCATTTCTGAACAGTGATGCCATCACTTGCAGAAATATGATACGGGACATCATGATAGGGGCGTAGATTTAGCATGGATGGAGGGGACATGTCCCCACCAATATCCATCAACTATTTAAATGTCCTCACCAATAATTTTATACACAACACATTGTGCTGTCATTATTAACCTAGACAAGCAGAGTAGGTTCAATCACATTCTCTCCATGAGTGGCACCGCTTCCCAAACACATGAACATTATGCAACATGTATTGTATACACCAGTCCCCACCAATGTCAAGTGCAAACCTATGCCCTTGCATCATAATTTAAGTTTCAGCTAGTTCATTGTATTTTCCCTAGTTTACTGTTACCACAGGTTGCAGTTAAATTTCAGTTGTTGATACCAAGAATATATTTCTTACAAGTTTAAATTCACAAAAAATACATTTCTTAATAGCGAAAACCTTTATCATATCAATTCAAAAATAGTTGGTCAATGGCCAGCTATATTGGTACTATAATACAGTTTTTCTCAGTGGCTTTGGTGCATTTCTCACAACACTTTTTACATTTGCACAACAGGTTATTCTTAAAACAATTAGTCTTGTTCACATCATAGTAGCAGTTTCTCATTCCTTCCAACAAATTGCAAATGCTTTTGGACATGTGTCAATTGCTTTTATACAACTCTCTGCTGTTTTATAACATTATCATTAGCTTTTGTCATATCAGTCAAAATTAACTGAACTTGAGAATCCTGAATAGTCATTCCATATAAAACTAACAGTCCTCATTTCATTAATTGAGTCATTACATACAAAAATGTTAAACTAGTTGTCAGAATCTGTCAAGCTAATTTTATAACATTTTTACAATCTTTTGAGAACAAGTTGAACAATTTCATGAATGGTTTACAGACCTGTGTGTTGTAGGTTCAGTTCCAATATGTACTGCAATATTGTAACAGTTGTGCACAGCTCTACCCAAATGAAATGTATTAATTCATTCATTCATTCATTCGTTTTCTTGTCGGCTTAGTCCCTTTATTACAGTTTTTCTCAGTCGCTTTGGTGCATTTCTCACAACACTATTTACATTTGCACTACAGGTCATGCATTTCTCAAAACAATTAGTCATTTGTTCACATCCTAGTAGCGGTTTCTCATTCCTTTCGACAAATTGCAAATGCTTTCGGACGTGCATCAATTGCTTTCATTCAACTCTCTGCTATTTATAACATGATCATTTGCTTATGTCATGTCAGTCAAAATTAACTAAACTTGTAAATGCTGAATAGTCATTCCATATAAAACTAATAGACCACATTTCATACTTGAGTCATTACATACAAAAATTTTGAACTTGATGTCAAAATCGGTCAAGCAAAACTTTATAAAAAAAAATTGTAAACTTTATTTGTCTGAAAAGGTCTTTGAAATAGAACAATTTGATGAATGATTTACAGACCTGTGTATGTTGCAGGTTCAGGTCCAATATGTACTGCAATATTGTTTACAGTTGTGCACAGTTCAACCCAAAGGGAGTTTATGTTTGTTGTAAATAAGGGTGTGTTTATTCTTTTGCACAATGCTGCGAATAAATTAGGATTGTAAATAGCAAATGCAGAGTAAAAATGTGAAACATACATATTCAGTGTCTTGTACTCAGATACCTCACTAAATGCAGTGATG